TATATATATATAAAATCCAAAAAGTGTAGGGGAAATAAAATGCTATTTTACGAATGATATATTTTTTAAATTAACCGTATGTATTATATGTTCTTTAAATGAATCTGTAATCAGTCGGGTTTTTTTCTGACAAAAATGGGCATCGGCCTAAAATAAATAAATAAAAAAATCCATATCAGTCGGGCCCTAGTTTGTACATTACATTACTGACATATTTTATTGTATACTTGTGTCTAACAAATAATTGCAGATATTATTGATCTCAATAGGAGATTTTATTTTGAAAAGTCGACCCATTGCCAAAGTAAAATGAACGCGTTGGAATCCTTGCCTGGCGGGTCATGGCAGAACATTGCCATCAACTGTCATAAGAACAACTCTCTGGCAATTCTCTGTACTGATTGCCTCTCATAGTGTCGATTTGAAGCCAATCCAGCAGCAGATGCACGGTTAAAAAAAAAAAGAAAAAAAAATATATATGTATAAAAAGAAATTCCTTGAAATAACTGATTTGGGTGTTTGTGGATCCTTGGCAAAAGGTAGGCAGCCACTGAGTGCTTTCCAGATTAGAAATGTGGCAGGTGATGAGGCGGCAGGAGCTTTTTCACCCATCAAATCAGTCTGAGAGCGGCAGAAAATCAGTGTATCTATGTGAGTCCCACAGTGCAAATCACTGCTGCAAATCAGAGCGGCTAACAAAGCGCACGATAGTCAACCAGAATAATATGAGAGAGAGAGGCTATAAAATAAAAACAGAAAATATAAATCATGTTTCAGTGTTTCACTAAATCAATATTTTTGCTTGGACACACCTGGCCAATCACAGCACAGAACAATAGTCTGATACTTGAATTGGATTTTACAAATCTTAAGTTTCATATGTTTTTCTCTTTCACATCTCACAGTGGACGTAGTGAGCAATTGTTCAAAAACAAAAAATACCAAGTTATCTCGTGCCATTCCTATTTTAGTTTACAATCAAACTAAACATCAAACAAAAAAAATAAACCAAACCACATAATTTACCAGCGGCCGCTAGCTTAATGCTAACACACAATGCAAAATGATTTTACATCCATTTCAGTGGGGAAAGATTATTTGAGATATGATTTTTCTCAAGTTAGCAGTGAGACAATGGAACAAGTTCCAACTCGTATGTCAAGGCACCACTGGATATAATGACATATCGTCAGGTTGTTCCCCAAAATGCAAACCAGCCAAGCTAACGAGGCTAGCTATGGTTGCTACTGTATGTTTGTTTCGGCCTATCGTGGTTGCAACCTTCAGAGGCAAACAACACATCACCCACTACCTGTTTTTTTTTTTCCCCTCTAAAACTGGATAATATTTCTCTGAGAAAAAATCACCTCGTATAGCAACAATAACCAGGGTGGGGGCGGGGTTTCATGAAAGGCCAATTAAACCAGATGATTGCTGCCCTCAAATCTGGCCGTCTTGTGGCTTTTGTATGTTTTTGCTGCAACTGCAGTGCGATAACAATAGAAGCACACTCCTGCCAATCACCGTCACGGTCAATCAAACTTAATTGACTTTCCTGCATTAAGACGTTATAGCTTTTCAGGTGAACACCATTTTGCCGTCTGTTATTGTTAAGAAAAAAAGAGTCGTGGAAAAAAAAAGAAAGAAAAAAATCCAGTCGGAATGTTTAACCTTTCCAAATGCCTGCCCGACTCTCTGGAGCGGATCGTACCTGCACTCTTGCTTCTGTTTATTCCCGTCTTGTTCTTGTGACTGTTGGGAGAGAGAAAAAAAAAAAATGAAATGTATTTTTTTTTCTTTGACAGGAACCCCATAACAGCTGTCAGAGACATTCATGAGCAAAAAAAAAAAAAAAAAAAAAAAAAAAAACAAAATGAACTTCAGCTCAGAGAGCATCAGAAGGATCAACTGCATATGTGTATCTTTGCTTTTTTATTTTATTTATTTATGATGACTATTTTTTTCCCCTAAATATGTTTTAATCAACGTTTTTCCTTTTTTTTATTTAATGTGTTTGACAGTTTGACTTCATTTTTGATGGCGGACGTAATCATTTTTGGTTTTCTACTTGATCAAATGATTGGTTGTACGGAATATGAACATTTGCATTTCATCATTGTAAATTTTACAAAACACTTCAAGTTTTTACTGAACATGTTTGACAGTTTTACTTCAACGATGAAGAAATGCAACGGTAAAAACACAAAATCTATTGACTAGTTTTACATTAACATTGTAACTTGTATAACGAGGGCATAAATCGTCACCTATGCATTGATTTAAAGTTTATAATGTTGACAGAACCTGGAACAAATGACATCACATTATTTTCCTGTGGGGAAAAACTGCAGATGAAAATAGAACAATTTAGAAGTCAACCAGTGTCACGGAAATGCTCGTGTTCCACTTTAGAGGTTCCACCTTCACGTTTCTGCAGGAGATTTTAGATGAAATATTCGAATGCAGATTCAATCTGAAGTTTTTTTCGCTAGTGCAGACTTTTGGGGACCCGTTACAGGAAGTTGACGCATGCCGGCGTGTATCATCAATGACAATAGAAGAAGCAAAAAGTGGAAGATGAAACAACGCGAGGAGACGCCGCGGCACAGCAGGACACGATGAGATGAATAGGAGGCAAAGAAATCCAAAGTTGACTTGGTTCAATTATGGATGAGAAAAATAACACGCCGAACAGAACTGGATTTTCAGCGATCTCATTTCTCCCAAATGCTAAAGAAGATCACACTTCCATCGAGCTGTGCAGTTCAGTTTGGTTCATCATAATCCGGTAATGGCGACGGTGATGAGATACTTTTGTGTTTTGGTCCTAATTTATGACCAACAGTTTGTTCTGTTCAGTTTGTAGCTTGGCTGTTCCATGAACTGCCATGTCAATTAAAGTTGGGACATTGTGTCCCCCTTCAGGTGCAGCGGGTGACCGGCAGATGGAGTCGGACCGTACCAACCTGCTGACCACCTGCTCCTGCGATGCGGGTAGGCCTCTAAATCCCTCTGCCGCTCGGCTAATCCCCCGTTTTGCCACTTCCAGTGCCAGATACGACCTCGTCCGTCCCTCGTCGCCATCACCAGAAATGTCTCGGAAAAAGGAAAGAGGGTTGTGTCGTTGGCGGGAGCAGAAGGTTGGCACATCAGTCGCAGGCAGGAGTTGGCGATATGATTTGTGACAGCGCGATACTCCCTAACACGATTTCCCCTCCGCTTGGCCTCCTGCTGCGTCAACACGCAGGCTCCGCCGCTTCCAATGCGACATTGTCGATATTTTGCGATTTACCTTTGCTTGCACGCATACCGACTCACTTATCACTTTGTCACGCACAACACCTGCCTTCATGCCGCTTTGTTATTTTGGTCCCGTTAATACGCTTGCCTCTCCACCTGCTTCTTTTCAGCCGAGGCCTCAAATCGCAATCTACTCCACGGAGATGGAGCGCCAGACAGAAAATAGAAGTACAGAAGAAGAAATGAAACAGAAGAGGAATGAATCTGGGGATAAAGGAGGGGGGTGGGGTTCTCGTTTCATGGATTTTTTTTTTTTTTTTTTTTTAATCTTTTGACAAAATACGTTGCCAAGTGATGACAGGCTAATATCGCTCGTGGTAAATTGATCAAACTTTGTTTGCCTGAGAAATGCGGCGCACTCGGAGAACAACTGTAGGCAAACAAAATGATATTTTACGGCAGACTCGCATTCGGGCTCCCTCGGACTGATGGTGCTGACACAACAAAAACTGCAGTACTGTTCTAATTTTCATGAAAATGTTGCTGACTATGAAGTATTTGTACTTCACTACCTACCACCATCGGTGAACAAGCATTCACTGGATGTGGACAAGTCTCATTTTCTACGAACTAATCTCGACCAGTACTGCCCGTCAAATCCGCAATGTTCCGGCTAAATATAATGGACTCATGTCAGTGCCCATTAACAGCAAACTTGCTGACTATGAAGTATTTGTACTTCAGTACCTACCATCATTGGTGGACAAGTCTCATTTTCTCCGAACTAATCTCGACCAGTACTGCCCATCAAATCCGCAATGTTTCAGCTAAATATAATGGACTCATGTCAGTGCCCATTAACAGCAAAGGGTGGTGACTTTTTCGCCTCTGGTTCAATGTGTCTCCAAGCAAGGTTGAATGCAATTGGAGGCCGCGCGCTGCCTGACTGACCAGTCGAGTTTAACCGAGCGTGAATGACGAGCCATCAGCGCAAGTCCCTCAAGACTGGCAGATGCTAATTTAGGACCATAATAGAGCACGCATGCAGGAAGCCCAAAGAGTCAAAAAACAAAAAAACAAAAACATAATCCAGTCGTTAGCAAATGGGAGACAGACTGTAATAGACTGTATAAACTTGGGTCACTTAACCCTGACATATATTACTGTTGCCCTCAAGACTGGCAGATACTAATTTAGGACCATAATAAAGCACGCATGCAAGAAGCCCAAAGAGTCAAAAAAACAAAAACATAATCCAGTCGTTCGCAAACGGGAGACAGACTGTAATAGTTGTGCACAGGGTTCAATCTAACGCCAACTTGGGTCACTTAACCCTGACATATATTACTGTTCATTTTCAAGAATCTCATAATAATTGTCAAAGTCAAATTATGAAATAGGTTGGCCCAGTGGTCGACTGGTTAGCGTGTTGGCCTCACAGTGCAGAGGCGCAGGTTTTGATTTCGGCTCCGGCCTTCCTGGGTGGAGTTTGCATGTTCTCCCCGTGCCTGGGTGGGTTTTCTCCGGGTACTCCGGTTTCCTCCCACATTCCAAAAACATGCGTGGCAGGTTAATGCAACACTCTAAATTGTCCCTAGGTGCAGATGGTTGCTTGTCTTCTCCTTGGGTAAGTTCTCCTGAAGTCCCCCCACCCCTAAAAAAAATATTTTATTTTTATATATATATATATATATATATATATACACACACACACACACACATACATTTTTTGAGTAACTTCAGGAGAAGTTAACTCATTTCATTTTAAAAGAATGACATTTAATGTATTTTCATTGCTGTCAAATGTCGAAATGCGTCCAGGTTGACCCGAACAGTGCGTAAGGGTTCAGAGGTGGTGGAGAAAAGCTTATGCAGGGATGAGATGCTATTGCTTTCAGATGCTCATTAGAGCCGTGCGTGTGTCAGAATATTAACATCAGAAACACAAGACCTTGATTTAAAAAAAAAAACTGCTTTAAAAGTTGCATGCAACCTTTCATTTAATGACTTGTAAAAGTGGTCATGATCTCAGCTCTCTATGGCTGGAGTTCCATTGCACTTCCAATTTAGTGCCTATATACGATTTATTTTATCATTTACGCAACATCAACATATTAAATATAATAAGCCTCAGGCCATGGTCGATTTTACTGCGCTTTCAGCTTGTTCATGACCAATTCTGGCTATGAACAGACATGATGTTTAACTTTGAGCAGAAAGCTGGTATTTTCTGCTTTTGCTACAGCATAACGATTTTTAAGTCAAAATCATTTCTTGTCATTAGTATAAAATGTCTACTCATTTTCACATTTTTTTTTTTACCTCTTCAAATTTCACCTTGTTTGGCTCATGCACAGGTTGTGAAATTGGCTCATAAATGAAATATATTAGAGATTTGCAGGATCACCCCCCCCCCATCCTTCTATCGCTAATTCAAATAGCAGAGGGAGTGTCCAGTTCAGAAATTAAGCAGTAATTCTACCAAGATCAGCAGAGGGTATCCTGAAATCTAATTTGCATCGGCCACATAACACCTCTTTCAAAAATAAAGAATATGACAGGACGTGATGATTGAAATTCCAAAATGACATTCCAGAGTGCCAAAATCTGTATAAAAAAAACAAAAAACAACAGCAGTCAAAAAAGTTTGCGATTGCCTGCCAATGCCTTATCATTGCAACAAAGCAATTTTTCTTTTTGTTTCAGACAAGGCTATGGCCTGAATAATGAAGTTCCTCACCTCAGTTCAACCTAGTTGCTTGGCATCAAGATGCAATAAAATGGCACCAAAGCAGTATGATCACATGAAACTTGTTTTTGACCTGAACACAAAAACTGAATAATGGATATCCCACCCGAAAAAAAAATCCAATAGTCCAATTCTAAAACTTGGGACATCACTGTATTTGCACAAAAGACAATTAAAAAGTAAATTTAGCAAAACGTTCCCTTTACAGCGTGTCAAGAGATTGTAGTGACTTGGAGTAATTCACACTCACCGTAAACAGCAAGAGCACAACTCGTACACGTCATTTGGAGGCGCTCACATCAGCACCGCGCTCTTCACCTTCAAGCTGGAGAGCCGCTGAAATGAGAGACTACTCAACCATGAACGCGCGGGCACCTCCAAACCATCAACAAGTCCATTTTAATTCTCAACACAGGTGAACAGAGAGGCACTTCTATTAAAATTGGAAATGGCACACTTGGGGGTGGCGGAGGGCGGGGATGGGGGGTGATGGGGGTGGGGGGGGCTTACAGGTTCGTAGAAAGAAATAGGTTAAAGCAATGCAATTTTTTGTTTTGTTCCAATGCAAAAGGTCACCCATCGCGCCGCACCATGAATGCGCCGCCGTTCGTGATTACTTTACATTCGTTCATTAAAAACCCACCACGCTTCGAGGCGCAAAGCCAAGAGAACCATTTTCTCTCGCTCGCCACTTCTATTTTTTACGCTCCAGGCGCACGCCATTCTGTTTCATTATTTAGTTTCTAATTAACGCACCTGTATTTATGCCTGGACTGGCTTCAGTGTCCACTGAACGTCATATCTCCTGCCGGTGGCGTTCATCGGCACAATTTTGCGCCATGCTTATCTGTCTTGGCCTCGAAACTTCACGTGGAACATTCTCGACTAAAATCATCTTTGAAGTAGGCATTCTTTTTATTGTCATATATGCTGTTAAAAGTAATATTCTTGCATTAAAAATCAGCCAACCAGCACGGACAAAAAACCAAAATGTCTTACATAAACACTGCGTGTTTGCACCTCCGCTTTAAAAGACAATTTTCTATATCAATACCTGGGGTGTGATTTGATTCAAGGACGGCTTATTTTAAAGTGGAACGATTCCGTTCAATTCGCTGAGGTTACGATTCGATACAATGTGGCACAGGGCGTGATGCATATATTGTATAAAGTATATAAAGTGTTTCTGTTTTTTTAATACATGGACTCCAGCTAGCTTATTTCTACTTGGGCAATATCAAAGACTGTGCGTGCCTCTCCTGCGCTGAATTGAAAGGGAATGCCATTGACTGGTAAACAAGTCCGTGTTCACTCCCACAACTGCGTAAACGCCCCTTTCTACCTGCGAAAATACCAAAAGAAAAAACTCCACCCATGCGCTGGACCTGAAAATAGGGTCCCGAGTCTTTAAGATTCAATCCAAATTGTTGCTTTGGTAAAGATTTCTTTTTCCCCCGAAGAGCAGAGCGCTTCATAATACAAAAAAAAAAAAAAAAATCTAATCTTTGAGAGGCTTGCTTATCGGCATTTGTTGCAACCAACCAACTGGCCAGTGGGCACGGTTCCACACAAAGAGCGACACACTCACAGATCAATGGATCATGTTTGGATCGTGCCGAGTGTTAAATGCTGACAATGTATTCATCGATTTGGCTCTTTCTCTCGGCATCGATGAGTTGAGCAATGGGAAAAGCAGCAGTAACCTTTAGATCTGGGATGGGGAAATCTTACTCCTGTCAGTTTTTATAACGTCAACTGAGCTCCATGTCAAAAAAAAAAAAAAAAAAAAGGGAACAAATTAATACATATACGCATATTCTACGATTGTGTTCGAAGCGGCCATTTTATGGTTGATTAGGCTATTTCCAGCGCTCCCACAAAGAGAAATCCGTCCTTGAGATTTTATCCACAGAAGAAAGACTTTTACTACATTTGACATCGCAAAAATCTCGTGTATTTGGCATTGGATGTGAGCAGCTCAACGCAGCCAAAGTTGACGACTCGCCATAAAACTCCACGAGGTCAGGGTTTGACTAAATGTCTTGCTTGTGTTGAAGGCCCTGATGAGGTTCACATTAAGTCCTTACTTGCACCCCTGATTAAACTCCGTGACTTGGTATGACCCTTGAGCTGTGGTCTAACCAATGAATATTCATACAAAATTTAGGATTTGTTTGCTGATTATTACCTGTCTATCTTAATGATAACAGTGGACACATTATCCCACAAAGCAATTGAAGCCTAAGGCTTATGTAAATATGCAAACTGAAGAAACATGTTTCTATGGTAACAATAAGAAAAAAATGATAATCAGGGGCCTCAACAGATGACAAACGATTGCAAAAATGTTTACGTAATGTGTGTCGGAAAAGCTGGAGAAGCCGTTGCCTTGTTAATCTGACAGATGGCGTTTCTTGAGCCACATACCCTGTAACCAAATAACGATAAACAGCATTATAATGGACTGTAATTATAGTACAAACAATCTGCTGATGCGACAAAACGGATGACTTGGGTTGAGTGTGTTTCCGTCGTGCCTTCCTGGCATTTAATGTGCTGTCGCATCACCTTCCGTTAATGAACTTAAAGCAATAGGGCCGAGGACGTGACCAAACTTGATAGCCAGCTCAGAACGAGCACAACCGCAGAGGGGGTGGAAAGGTCAGGCGCTGTCCGAGACGCTCGCTAATGATGCTGCTAACTGCAAAAATCAAGGCGAGCGGGCGGAAAGTGCTGACGCAGATGGTGAAAGCAACAACAACATCAAAAAAATGAAGACACAATGAACTTCCTGTCGCCTCCAACTCGATCCTCTTCTACGCTGACTCTCACCCTTAATTTTCACTTTCAATTAAAGCGTCGATGTGTTTTCTTGCACTGAAGTTCATCAGAGTTGATGAACATGCGG